AGAGGAGGATTGTTCAGGCTCCTCCCCTTCTCCCTGTGTGTGTGTGTGTGTGTGTGTGTGTGTGTGTGTGTGTGTGTGTGTGTGTGTGTGTGTGTTTACAATCCAGACAGAATCTGTGTGGCTGTAGAACTACCTTCATCTCTGGTGTAGTCTTCTCCTGAATGAGGTTCAAATAGATAATCTCCTGTCGCCAGCTCAAATGCCTGAAACACACAYCATAAGGTCATGCAACTACTGAACCATTCTCCAGTAGAACTCCCTTGACCAAGAACTTTTACTAGGCACAGAAAATTGATTAATTCTGAATGTGTTTAAACCATAGATTTCTGGTTGAACCCTTTTTTTCCGAACCAGGACACGTTGATTTCCAGGTAGTTATACAACTTAGTTTTAAAGCAATGAACAGAATCGGTGACAAAGRGCAACCTTGGTGGAGTCCAACTCTCACCGGAAATGAGTCCAACTTACTCCCAGCAATACAGACCAAGTTCTGACATCAGTTGTACATGGACCTAATAATCTGTTTCAATGGTTGGTACCCCATACTCATAGAGTACCCCCCAACCCTAACCCCTGGGCCAATCATCTGCGACCTGGTGAAGACACAGGCACTGAACCAGGAAATCTACACCTTGTTGGCCAAGGGTGCTATAGTGACTGTGGAGCCCCTATGGGATCCAATGGGCATTAATTCAAAGTATTTTCTTGTCCGAAAGAAAACCAGGGTCTACGTCCAGTCTTTGAACTCAGGGGCCTGAATACATATCTGAAGGTGATACTTTTTTACATCTGACCACCAGAGAAGTGTTGTAGGCAAGCTACCTGGGCAACTGGTTCACATCCACCCTAACTAATGGACACTTATTTTCATGTCCCAATTGCTCTCTCTCATTGGTGGTTAGGGTTAAGTTCTATGTTTCACTTTCCATCAAAGCATTTTTAGTTCAGGGTCCTATCATTTGGGCTTTAATTGATCCCCAGGGTGTTCCCTTGGTGAGTTGCAGCAGCTGTCCTCCCTGCAGGCACAGGGGATAAGAATCCTTCCATATCTGGACAATTGATTTTTTTGTGCACCAACTTGCAACCAGGCTGTCTGGGACACTCAGATAGTTCTGGACCATGTGGAAACGCTTGGGTCTAGAGAAGAATATAGGGGAAAAACAGTCTGGTTCCTGCACAAGRGACAAATTTACCCATTTTCGCCCTAAGTTTGGTTTCAATGACTGTGTGCCGGTCACCCTAGTGGGTCGACAGCATTTTCAACATGCTTCAAAAATTCAGCTGCCTTTTGTGCTGTATCTTCTCTTTTTAGGCATGCTCACAGCTGCATCCAGCATGGTGACCGTAGGGCAACTGTCATTAAGTCCCCTTTAGGGGCTGGGCAAACAGCTTGAGTCTGGACCCTGCCAGGCATGCTTACAGACTGAGACTTTGAGTTGGGCATTAGTGTCTTCGGTAACTGTCCCAGTGGAGGAACAGGTCATTCATAACGACAGGGGTTCCACTGAGCTGTCCCCTGTGTTGACAGTAGGTAATGCATGATGCATCTTCCACAGGGTGGGGTGCAACCTGGCAAGGACAGATGATGCAAGGTTTATAGTGCTCACAACAGGGCAGGGAGTATATCAGAGTTTTGGGCTGTGTTTCTGGCCCTTCGGGGCTTTCTGCTGGGCTTGCAGTGCAAGCATGTACTGGTGAGGTCAGATAACACCTCTGTTGTCTTCCATGTAAGTCACCAGGAAAGGAACAGGTCAAATAAACTGTTTTATTTTGACCAAGCAACTGCTGACCTGGGCACCTCAATACTTTGCCAGCCTCAGGGCAGCCTACATCCTGGGACCACAGAACATGACATCAGATATTCTGTCCCGTCAGAAGCCCCTTTCGGGAGAGTGGAAGCTTCACCCAGAGGTGGTGAGTCACATCTGGAGTCTTTGGCAGCACAGATTTTGATCTCTTTGCCTCCAAGGAAGCAGTTCACTGTCCTCTTTGGTTCTCACTAGCGGACAAAGTCAGCCCTTTGGGCTGCAATGCACTAGCATACAACTGGCCCCCAGACCCTCCTTTATGCTTTAACTCTGGTCAGTCTAATACTTCCAGGGGTCCTAAAGGTTTTTTAGGAGGGCCAAAAGGTTCTCTTGGTTCCCCAACCTGGCCATCAAGGACTTGCTTTTTCTGCTGTACAGGATTTGTTCCAACTTGCTGATGCATCTCCCCTTTAGGAGGCATTTCCTTTCCCACCGGGAGGGCCAGATTCTCCACCCCGACCCAGATTGGCTCCAGCTTTGGGATTGGCCCCTACAAGGTCAGGTTCCATTTTTTCAAAGTAGGCTGGAGAAGTAGGACAAACAATGGTAAACGTATGGGCTCAGTCTACCTGCACTGTTTATACTAACAGGTGGGTGGTCTTTGCAACCTGGTGCCACAGTAAAGTACACAGCCTAGTAACATCCAGGATCGACTACTGCAACTCCCTACTGTTTGGCCTCCCCAATAAATCCCTTCACAAACTACAGATGGTTCAGAACTCAGCTGCCTGTGTAATCACTCAAACATCTTCCTCTGCCCACATCACTCCAGTCCAACAGCTCCACTGGTTCCCAGTTAAATCCCACATCACTCCAGTCCAACAGCTCCACTGGTTCCCAGTTAAATCCCACATCATCTTTAAAATTCTCCTACACACCTTCAAAGCTCTCCACAATCTTTCCCCTCCTTACCTGTCTGACCTCCTGAACATCTCCACAGCCTCCTGCTCTCTAAGATCTGCCTCCTCCCTCCACCTCTCAGTACCTCCTGCCCTCCTCAGCACCATGGGGAGCAGAGCTTTCAGCTCTGGAACTCACCAGTCCATGGATTATAAAACACCACCTCTCTGTCCCAGTTTAAGACTGGTCTGAAGACACATCTTCTCAGATTATCCTACTGTTAACTCTGATCTTTAATATATGTCTGTTTTTGTTGTCCTCACTTCGATGTTTCTGCTTCACAACCCTATTGTTCAATTTGTCTACATTTTTGTTTTTTATTATATGACTGTTCTGTACTCCACATCTCTGTTTCTCCCACACCACCCTATCATTATATGTATCTACAAGTTTGTTTTTACCTTCATTTTATTTTTTTCTATTGTACAGCGTGCTAGGGTGTCTTGAAAGGCGCTTTATGAATGAAATGCATTATTATTATTATTATTATTATTATTATTATTATTATTATTATTATTATTATTATTATTATTATTATTATTATTAAAGGGCAGGACCTGATTAGATGTTTAGTCTCTGATGTACTGACCTTCCTCCAGGGATTACTGGAACGGGGATGGTCTTCACTCATTTTGAAAGTACATGTTGGCTGCTATTTCCTACTGGCATGTGGAGTTAAATGGCTGTTTAGTGGGCCGAGATAGGGACATAGTGCAGTTCTTAAAGGGTGCTAGGCATTTGCACCCACCAAGCCAACCTGTGACACTGGCTTGGGACATTTCTTTGGTGCATGAGGCCCTCTGGTCACCCCCATTTAACCCCTTAGGCAGTGGACCTCAAATGGCTCTCATTAAAAACAGTGTTGCTTTTAGTTATGGCTTCTGCAAAACAAGTAGGGGAATTGCAGGCTCTAATCAATAGCCAAGCCCTGCTGCCAGTGGAACTCCGATGGCTCATGTGTGACACTGTGGCCTTATGTGTCTTTTGTGTCTTTTATCTCTAAGGTGTCATTGGCAACAGGCAAAACATAGCTGCTTCAGTTCGACCATTTTGACACCGGGACACTCTCTGAGCCTCTCTGCTCTGTTTGTGCACTGAAGGCATATGTCAGATGCTGCTGGACATCATATGTAGCACGGCCCCACTAAGAACCTTTGCTTGGTTCTACAGGGTGAATGTGGCTGTGCACCATTCCCTGCAAAACATTCTGCAGCAGCATTCTTTTACATCCCATTAAGGTAAGTTGTGTTGTGATTTTTTTCTTCAGATTTCTCATGACTTTGTTCTATTTTATCCCTACTGACCATGCTCCTTCAAGCACTGGATGTCAACAAAGTTGTGACTGTAACTACAATTCTATGAATCCCAGATGACCACCAGAGCGCTCGGTTACTCGAAATCCTTGCAACACAAAAAGGTTGAGTGCAGGGTGTCACATGGATATATAGTTGCATGGATCACCAACAGGTCACAGGTGACTGTTTAAATTAATTCTTGACCTGCGCATGTGCAAGAAAGATCATTCGGTGCTTGAAGCAGTGCCTCTGACAGTCATCCGGGATTCATAGAACTGTAGTTACAGTCGTAATTTTCGGTTTATATAACGTTAAAAATATGAGATGCACTTGGCCAGTGGTTCCCAACCTAGGGATGCTCTTTTCGACTCAGAGGTTGTGAAAATCATCAGTCTGAGCTTTATGTTACAGACTGTACATACAACACCTATAGATCTGGTCATCTTTGGTAAATGGCTTGAACTTATATAGCACCTTATGTCCACATGGACCCCAAGGTTCTTTACACTTCAGGCATTCACACATTCACACACTGATGGTGGTAAGCTACACTGTAGCAACAGCTGCCCTGGGGCACACTGACTGAGGCGAGGCTGCCATACACCAGTGCCACCAGACCCTCTGACCACCATCAACAGGCAAGGTAGGTGAAGTGTCTTGGCCAAGGACACAACGACTGAGATGGCTGGAACAGGGATCGAACAGTTAAAGTTCCGGTTCCAGGCCGACGCCCCTAACCACTCTGCTACAGCCACTCTTTGAAACTGGAAGCATTTGTTCGGCCTTAAATTATATTTTAGATAAAAAGTTCTCCATCTGACTACTTGTCTCTGTGATTGTTTTTTCTGAGTGAGTCATTGTGTGGTTGTCCAGCTGAAGATAAGTAGATGTGGTCTTACAGGTTAGGGTTAAATGTTCGGCTTAGGCATAAATACAGTTACAATAATGAATGGAAGTCAATATAAAGTCTTCAGTTTGATTACAAGGACGTGTCTGTGTACATGTTTTTGCTAACTGGTGGGGATGAGTTTTGACCATTTTCCTGGTACACACAGCCTGGTGAGGACCCACTGTTTTTTATTGGGACAAAAGCCTAGTTCCCACTGGGGGAAATACCATTGGTGGGTCACAATTTCAGTTTAGGACTACGGTGTGAATTGAGTTTAGATAAGGTTTAGGGTCAGATTTAGAGTAAGGGATCAGGGTTATGCAATAGAAATGACCAGTAAATGAATGGAAGTCAATGCAATGCCCCATGAGGATAGTAAAACAACCATGTGTATGTGTGTTTACCATGCAGGCAGTGCTCCAAATGTCAGCGGGTGTCCCATACTCTGCTCCAATTAAAACCTCTAGAGCTCGGTACTGCCTTGTCTGAATGTCCTCTGTGAAGTGTTTGTGCTGGTAAAACACAGATAGCACAGAGAGTGAGGAGCAATTTGATTGGTTGAACTAAAAGTTAACATTAAACAAGGAAGAGAAAAAATTAAGACTAATCACCACCCAGCAGGCATTTCCCAGGTCTGCAATCTTCACCTGGATCCTATCAGCGTTCTGAGGATCCAGAGGGTTGATGACAAAATCTGAAGAGCTGAACTCTGCAGACACAAGCAGAAACTCAGAAACCCAGCTAATCAACCAGCAGAACTTGATTGTGTTTCTGAATAATGTGTCTGTTATGGATGTGTGCAAATTTGTGTACTTGTTTCTGCTACACAGTGAGGACCGTTATGTCTTCAATCAACAAAGTGAGGACATTTTCCCAGTCAGTTCTACTGTATTTTACTAGTTAGGTTTAGAGGTATGGTGAGAATTAAGTTCTGGTTCAGGTTAGAGTTAACTATATACCAGTAATGGTTAATTTTACTAGTTAGGTTTAGAGGTATGGTGTGAGTTAAGTTCTGGTTCAGGTTAGAGTTAACTATATACCAGTAATGGTTAATTTTACTAGTTAGGTTTAGAGGTATGGTGTGAGTTAAGTTCTGGTTCAGGTTAGGGTTGGGGGGGGAGTCAATACAAAGTCTTCAGTTTGATTAAAATACACACCCTTGTATTTGATTCAAATACAAGGGTGTGTGTGTGTGTGTGTGTGTGTGTGTGTGTGTGTGTGTGTGTGTGTGTGTGTGTGTGTGTGTTCTGACCATCTTGTCCATTGGAATATCCTGACTGAATAGAAGGTGCAGACTCGGATGTTGCTGACATAACAGAGCTGGAGAACCCTGATAATCCAGAAGCAGGGCTTGAGAACCGTCCAAAGGTGTGGTCAATACCTCTGTCCTCCAACCAGGATCCGGTGGACTCYGGACTCACTTTGGTATTGGCTGTGCAGCAACAGGGAAACAAAAAAAACCTTCAATCTTTATATGATTTTATTTTAATTCTTCATACGAAGAGTGATAAATCACCTGTTGTTGATTAGTTAGGGTTAGTATCGCTGCACATCTACTGTGTTTTTCAGCTGCACTGTAGGGGAATTTACTATATCTGGGCTTCATTTGGAAACAACAGTGCAATACTGTCATTGTACCACAAATGTGAACAAACATATCTCAACAAAAAAGTTCTGTGTGAAACAGAACTATAATCTGTAATAACAACTGATAGGAAGGTTCATCACTGATCCCCATTTTCTATGGCTGAGGAAAGTTGTCTCAGATACACAGACTATAATGACAGGAGCTCCACAGGGCTGTGTTCTCTCCCCTCTGCTCTTCTCCCTGTACACTAACTGTTGCTCCTCCAGCCATGACTCTGTAAAACTTAAGTTTGTGGACGACACCACCCTCATCAGACTCATCTCAGATGGTGATGAGTCTGCCTACAGGTGGGAGGTGGACCAGCTGGTGACCTGGTGCAGCAGCAACAACCTGGAGCTCAACACCCAGAAAACAGTGGAGATGATTGTGGACTTCAGAAAGGCCACAGCCCTCTGCCCCCCCTCACCCTTAACGAGACCCCCATCACAACTGTAGCCTGTTACCAGTTCCTCAACACCACCATCACCCAGGACCTCAGGTGGGAGCTGACCATCAGTTCCCTCATCAAGAAGGTCCAGCAGAGGATGTACTTCCTGCCACAGCTGAAGAAAGCTAAGCTGCCGGCCAGGCTGATGGTGCAATTCTACACAGCCTTCATGGAGTCATCCTCAGCTCCTCCATCATGGAGTCATCCTCAGCTCCTCCATCATGGTGTGGTATGCTGGGGCCACTGCAGGGACATTCACAGACTGTAGAGCGTTGTGAGCTCTGCTGAGAAGGTGGTGGGCTGCAGCCTCCCATCTCTCCAGGACCTGTACGTCTCCAGGACCTGTACGTGTCCAGGACTGTACGTGTCCAGGACCTGTACGTCTCCAGGACCTGTACGTGTCCAGGACTGTACGTGTCCAGGACCTGTACGTCTCCAGGACCTGTACGTGTCCAGGACTGTACATCTCCAGGACCTGTACATCTCCAGGACCTGTACATCTCCAGGACCTGTACGTCTCCAGGACTGTGAGGGGAGCAGGTGGGACCACAGCTGATCCTTCTCACCCTGCAGACTGTTCAGACCACTCCCCTCAGGCAGAAGGCTTTGCTCCATTTGGACCAGAACATCCCACCATAAGAACAGTTTCTTCCCCTCTGCTGTCAGACTCTTGAACATGTAGAACCTTTAGAACATGTAGAACCCGTGACTCTATAACTCTGCCTTGTTCACTTTATCACTGGTTTTTAAACAGCACAACTCTGATTATATTGTTTTTCTGATCACTTTTATCAATGGATCTAACTGCACTACTCCAACTATAATGTCTGCTCTGATTACTAGATTGACCTGGTGTACATATGTTTTATATATTTTATTATATTTTTCCTTTATCCTTTGTTTTTTTTTCTTTATTTGTTATATTTGATACTTATTGCACCTTTACACTGAAGCAAATTCCTAATCTGTGAATCCTGTTCATTGAAAATAGCAATAAAACTGATTCTGATTTTAATGTTCAGTTTTACTGGAACAAGTGAAAGACTCTGTTTGAATAGCAGGACTTCAGTTTGTACTCACAGTTAACATCTATGTCATTAGGTTTCAGTACATCCTCCTCTTCCTCCATCCTCTGCAACACAAACAAAATTATATAAAATATGATGTACTACTGTAGTAAAACTAAACTACTACTACAGTACCTGTAAATCCATCAGTCTCTCCTTTAGGAGCTTCTGCTGTTGCTTCGCTTTTCTTTTTAATTTTTTCTTCTTGTTTTTAGACAACTTCCCAACCTACACATAGAGGGAGGGTATGGGGTAAAATAATGACAGGAAGACAAGACATTTTTTAAAGTAATTAAAGGTATAGTTTTGACAGAGACACAGTTACTGACATGCACTGCATACAAGCTGTTAGGGACTAGAGTGACATTTTAACTTTATACTTCTGTTAGATCGCTCCATGTGTGACAACTCACTGCAGACATCACACCTGGACTCTTACCTGCAAGTCCCTGGGAGCTGCGCTAACTACAGTACAGCATGAAAACATCAGGAGGAAGAGATGGGAAACAGGAAGAGACAAAAACAACAGTCTAGTTAGACCTGAAAAATCCGACAGGAAGAGGACAGTCTGGAAACCAGCAAGAGGAACCACAGCTCCCAGTCATCATACTGACTGACTTTAGAGAAAGCTCATTCCAACCAGTTCTGCTCTTATTTTGTCTGAACATGTGACAGCTCCTTACCTGATGAGCCTGAAGGGGGCGGAGCTCCTGCTGTTTGCCAGACAGTGGCTTCTGCTGCCAGTCTTTTGATGTAAAAATCATCAACGACCAATAGGATGTTTTCTGGCTTGATGTCTGTGTGAATGATTTTGCACTTGGTGTGGAGGTAGTCAAGTCCCTGCAGCACCTGCAAGGCCACAAAGTCAGCGCTGYTCAGCAGGACTCAACTGATAAAACAGAGTCACCAAGTTCAGAAAAGTCAGAAGGACAGACTCCTGGCAGGTGAGTATGTCAGTCACCATGTCCCGGGTTGGTTTCAACTCAGAGTCACACCCAAGAATGGTTAAGAGGAAAACATTGGACTACTCTGAAGTGGCCTTCGTTGATCCTGACCTAAATCCTATTGAGCATCTTTGAAGGAGCTGAAACATGCCGTCTGGAAAAGGCACCATTTAAACCTGAGACAACAGGAGCAGTGGAACAAAATACCTGCTGAGAGCTGCAGAAGTCTCACTGACAGTTACAGGAATCCTTTGATTGCAGTGATCGACTCAAAAAGTTGAGCAACAAAATATTAAGTTAAGGGTAACATCATTTCTGTCCAGGCCTGATTCATGAGTTTGATTTTTAAATTCAGTTGAAGCATGGCTGAAAAGCAATGTCTGAATTCCATTTGTTTATTTTCATAGAATTTTTATCTATTGTTACTTTTGTCAGATACTAGTTATTTCTGTGACCATTGTGGGTTTTTCCTTACATTAAATGGGGGTACCAACAGTTTTGTCCATGTGTGTACATTTATGCCCAAATACACTTTTTGATACCATAAAAAATGACCAGACCACTGACAAGGCTCTCTACTTCAGTTATTCTTGGCGATGCAGTGTCACAAACATTTTCTTGATCAAAGAGATACCACTTGACCAACAATTTCCCTTCCCAAAGCAGAAACACATAGCTAAAAATTTGAAAATCAATAGTGGATGTTGATACAGTTTTACTTATCTAACCGATATGGTATTCTAAAAAATTACCAATATTGGCCGATACCGATGTCAATGCTGGGTTAGGGTTAAGGCTAACATAAGACAGGTCAGTTAGTAAGTCACAAAGTCCTGACTGGTTAGAGAATGAGCACAAGCAACACATGATCCCAGCTGGAGTGTGCCAAGGCCCGGTTGGAGTTTGAGTCCCTGGGTTTCATCTGAGAATGAGTCTGAATCCCTGAGTTTATGCTGCATAGAGCTGATAAATACAGATTTTGATAGTTGTTAGACGTAATCTTTGTGGGTGTTACCTGTCTGATGATGGTCTTGACACTGACCAGAGGAAGTCCCATATAGTTGGATTTGATGATCCATTTTAACAACTGGTGACCCAAAACCTCCAGAACCATACAGACATCTAATAGATGCTGAGGAAATTGAAATACACAGAAGTGGAAGACAAACAGGTAAACAGACAGACTGGTAACAGTGGAGGATACGGACTCCATTGGTTCCAGAGATTTTGAAGTCGTCAATGAGTTGGACTATTGTTTCCCTGAATGGGTCAGATGGGTCGCTGTCCCTCACCTGGAGAGACAGGTTAATTGAGCACAGCTGTAACTGTTGCAGGTGGAGAAGATAAAGTTGGAGACTCACACATCGAAGCAGTTTGATCTCGTCCAGAGCTGTCTCAGTATAATGTGGAGCACTCTTCACCACCTTCATAGCCACAAAGCGCTTCTTCCTGAACCAAAACCACATTCAGAACCTGTGACAACACAATTTGTGAAGCAGTCTGGAAACATTGAACAGTTCTTACTGCAGGTCCCAGCAGAGCCAGACTGTAGAGAAGTGTCCCCAACCCAGTTTCCTGACCACATGGTATCTTCTGTTGAACAGATCTCCTATTTTCACCGGGTAATAACCACCTGGACCACAAAGATAAGTCACCAAAACTCATCTGAGGTTTTCAGACTCTTCTGATACTGCCTACTTTTAAGATTGTCTTTTTTATAAATCCTATAGCTAGTCTTGGATTAGGTTTCCTGAGTTATTCCTTACTTCTGCTGCTATAGGCTTAGACTGCTGAAGGACAAACCGACCACATTTCTCYACTCTGCTGCTGTCTTTGCTTTCTATTTTTGTCATGAAACTGTTGCTGTTATTAACTTTATGTTTGTTGTTCTTCTCATACACTACATCAGGACCAATCTATGAGTTTGTCTMGGTCCTGTTTACTCAACACTTAGCTGGTCAAAGAAGATGGCTGTCCATCCTCAGACTAGTTCTGCTCGAGGTTATTTTGACCACATTTCCTCATTCTGTGTAGAACCAGTTAGGAACCAGTCAGTTCCTCTGAGGTTCCTCTGGTAATCTCACCTTTACAGTAATCAGATGGGTCTTCCTGCTCTTCATCATCAGAGCCAAGCAGCTGAGCAGAAGGTGGAGTTAAATCTAGAGGGGGCAGGCTCTGATGTAGAGGGGGTGTGCTCAATTGAGATATGGCTAATGATGTTGTAGGAGAGGAACTGAATGGATGGCCAACTGAGTCCAGTGAGCAGAGGAGGGAGGCAGAAGAGGAGCACAGGGGGTAGTGAAGGGAGGAGCAGACACTGGAGGTGAATATCGCTGAGGTCAGCAAGGAGGCATCACAGTGAGTAGAGGTTAAAGGAGGAGTTGCAGGGGCTTTGTCAGGTTGCAGGGAAGATGAGGGTAGTGACAGGCTGGAGAGGTGGGTGAGAGTTCCTACTGTGGCAGGAGGTGATTGGCTAAGACAATGGTAGGGTTGAAGGGCCGTTTTATGAAGTAGACAGGGCAATACAGGTGCATTTGTGCTGTCTGGACTGGGTGGCATTGTCTGGTGGAAGCTCAAAGGACGGGGTCGCTGGACTCTCTGGTGGGGGCTTTGAGGATGGGGTGACTGGGATGTCTGGTGGGGGCTTTGAGGATGGGATGACTGGGGTATCTGGTGGGGGCTTTGAGGATGGGGTGACTGGGGTATCTGGTGGGGGCTACGAGGATGGAGTGACTGGGGTATCTGTTGGGGGCTTTGAGAATGGAGTGACTGGGATGTCTGGTGGGGGCTTTGAGGATGGGGTGACTGGGATAACTGGTGGGGGCTATGAGGATGGAGTGACTGGGATGTCTGGTGGGGGCTATGAGGATGTGTTGACTGGGGTAACTGGTGGGGGCTTTGAGGATGGGGTGTCTGGGAGGTCTGGTCAGGGCTTTGAGGATGGGGTGATTGGGGTATCTGGTCGGGGCTTTGAGGATGAGGTGACTGGGATGTCTGGTGGGGGCTTTGAGGATGGGGTGACTGGGGTATCTGTTGGGGGCTTTGAGGATGGGGTGACTGGGATGTCTGGTGGGGGCTTTGAGGATGGGGTGACTGGGGTATCTGTTGGGGGCTTTGAGGATGGGGTGACTGGGATATCTGGTGGGGGCTTTGAGGATGGGGTGACTGGGATGTATGGTGGGGGCTTTGTGGATGGGGTGATTGGGGTGTCTGTTGGGGGCTTGGATGATGAGGTGACTGGGGTATCTGTTGGGGGCTTTGAGGATGGGGTGACTGGGATATCTGTTGGGGGCTTTGAGGATGGGGTGACTGGGATATCTGTTGGGGGCTTTGTGGATGGGGTGACTGGGATGTCTGTTGGGGGCTTTGAGGATGGGGTGACTGGGATGTCTGGTGGGGGCTTTGTGGATGGGGTGACTGGGGTATCTGTTGGGGGCTTGGATGATGAGGTGACTGGGGTATCTGGTGGGGGCTTTGAGGATGGGGCAACTGGGAGGTCTGGTCGAGGCTTTGAGG